TCCCGTTCCTCCCAGGTCGTCAGTCACAAGTCATCCTGTTAACGATCACTCATAACTGAACCAGGTAATCTATCAGCATCTCTCCCCACCTTCTCTTATCCAAAGGTATCAGGAAAAAATGTTGTTTGGTGGGATTGACAAAGACAGGATGGGTGGAGGAGCGCCAGAAGGAGGAAGTCGCTGCACTGCAGACTGTCGTTTGTCACCTTGGTCAAAATGAATTTGGCTTATTTCTATCAGTCTTTTTCTGGGTTCTCTATTCTATTCCATTGATTTGTGTGTCTGTGCCAAGCAGTATTGTTTAATTTAGCTATATAATAAGTCTTGAGACTCCCTGGGTGGCACTGTGGGTTAATGCGTCAGACTGCAAAGTTGTTGGAACTGCAAGGTCGGGGGTTCAAGCTTACCAGCTGCTCCTTGGAAACCCTATACGGGTCGCTACGGGTCACAATCGACTTGACAGCACTTAACAACAACAATAAGTCTTTCCACTTTTGTACTTAAAAAAAAAAATTTGTAAAAGCAGTTTTAGAGCCTATGCCATTTCGTCACATACCTTATTTTTTTAAAAGGTTGTCTAGAGGTGCATACAGTGTACCCTCCATGGACCAGGTGACCGAAGCCTTATGTGTAATCAAAATACTACCTGAGGTGCAGTGTACGTAGCAGCTGACAGCTGAGAGTTGGGGCGGCCACCCTTTAGCCCCTGCCTTCCATGTTAGAACAACGGCCCAAGCACACCAGGTCTTTTGAGATCTGCACACAACATGGAATCACCTGATTTTGCAAAACAAGCAAAAACCCCCACAGGGTCCAACTACAATGGATTTATGGGCCATTAGCTTGTACTTTCGGCTTTGCTGTTACCCTTGGAACTTAAAATACTCTATTTAGTTCTTCATTGACTGTTCCATCCACTCTCCATACCACCTCCTATCTCTCAACTTCATAAGATGGTGAGATCAGCGACTCCTCCCCTTTCTAGAAACGTATTATGGAATTGTCACAGTGCTGACATTTCCAATCTGTTCTTTAACTTTATTTGTCTGTAGGTGGGTTCTACAAAATGAGTATCAGAAAATGGATTGTATATTCTTAGAACTGGCAGCAGCTGTATCCTCACCTCACTCACAGATCCCTCATATTGTTGGGGATGGCAAGATGCCCCTTTTCCAGCTTTCTTGATCAGTGATGATTCCACCATCTGCTTCTCTCATTCTCTGATATAGCCCTATCATATTTTCTTTGTGTGTATGTGTATTGATGTCTTCCCCACACAGTCCTGATGTGGCACTGTAGGATAAGCACTGGACTTCTAACCACAAGGTAGGTGGCTCTAAACCACAACCACTCCTTGGAAGCCCTATGTTGTTGTTGTTGTTGTTGTTAGGTGCCATCGAGTCGGTACTGACTCATAGCAGCACTCTGCACAACACAGCGAAACACTGCCCGTTCCTAGGCCAACCCCATAATCGGTGTGAATGCCTGAGTGCATCTGTGCTGCCACTGTGCCAGTCCCTCTCGTTGGGGTCGTGCTTTTTCTCTGACCCTCCACTGTACCAAACATACTATCATTCTCCAGGGACTGGTCCCTCCTGGGTCAACCTCACAATTGTTGCCATGCTTGAGCCCACTGATGCTGCCACTTGGCAAATCCATCTTGTTGGGGGTCTTCCTCTTTTTCTCTGACCCTCCACCCTATCAAACATGATATCCTTCTCCAGAACCTGGTCCCTCCTGACATTATGTGTGAAGTATGACAGATGAAGTCTGGCCATCCTGGCTTCCAAGGAGCATTCTGGTTGTACTTCTTCCAACACAGATCTGTTTGTTCCTTTGGCAGTCTATGGTACTTTCAATATTCTCCTCCAATACCATATCTCAAATGCATCCATTCTTTTGTAGTCTTCCTTATTCACTGTCCAACTTTCCCATGCATATGAGGTTATTGAAAACACCATGGCTTGGGTCAAGCGCACCTTAGTCCTCAAGCTGACATCTTCGCTCTTGAACACTTTAAAGAGGTCTTGTGCAGCAGATTTGGCTAATGCAATATGTCGTTTGATTTCTTGACTGCTGCTTCCTTGTGTGTTGATGGTTAATCTGAGCAAAATGAAGCCTTTGGCAACTTCAGTCTTTTCTCCATTTATATGGTTGTTATTTATTGGTCCAATGGTGAGAGTTTTATTTTCTTTACATTAAGGGCCAACACATACCAAAGGTTGTGGGTTTTTGTTTTGTTTTTAAAGTTTTTATTGTGAATTGAGTGATACTTTACACGGGAGAACATCAGCTTCACATTCATCCTATCGTATTTTGTTTCATTGCAATGATTACAGGTCCCTCCTTGTTTCATTATCCAACAGCATTTGCTTCCATTCCCTCTGGATTTTTTTTTTTTTTTTTTGGGGGGGGGGGGAGGGGTACACCAAAGCAGCATAAAACCATTCAAACAACCAAAAGCAGGCTGTGCTCTTTGATCTTCATCAGTAAGAATTTTAAATCTTCTTTGCTTTCAACAAGCGAGGTTGTATCATCTGCATATTACAGGTTGTTAATGAGTCATCCTCCAATCCTGATGCCACCTTCTTCTTCATATAGCCCAGATTCTCGGATTATTTGCTCAGCATACATGTTGAATAAGTATGGTGAAAGAATACATCCCTGGTGTACACCTTTCCTAATTTTAAACCATTCGATGTTCTCCTGATCGGTTCAAACAACTGCCTCTTGGTCTATGTACAGGTTCCTCGTGAGCACAATTAAGTGTTCGGGAATACTCATGTTTCTCGATGTTGTCCATAGCTTGTCATGATCCACACAATTGAAAGCCTTTGTAGAGTCAAGAAAACACAGGTAAACATCTTTCTGGTAGTCTCGGCTTTCAGCCAAGATCCATTGGACATCAGCAATGGTATAGCCCTCATTCCACGGCCTCTTCTGAATCTGGCTCGAACCTCTGGAAGTTCTCTGTCAATGTATGTTTGCAGCCAATTCTCTATTACCTTTAGTAAAACTTTACTTGCATGCGGTATCAATGATATTGTCCGATGAGTTCTGCATTCTGTTGGGTCACCTCTTTTTGGAATAAACACAAATACGGGTGGGTGTCTTCCAGTTAGTTGCCTGCAGTGCCACACCAGTTTGTTGAAAGAGTTCAATTTGTATCCCATCTATTCCCGGTGCCTTGTTCTTTGCCAATGACGTCAATGCACCTTGGACTTTTTCCTTCACAATCACTGGTTCTTGGTCATAGTCTACCTCCTTGAAATGGTTGAACGTCGACCATCTTTTCTTTTGGGTACAGTGATTCTGTGTATTTCATCTTATTTTGGTGCTTTCTGCATCATCCAGTATTTTGCTCATAGAATCCTTCAATACTACACAAGTCAGAGTTTGAATGTTTTCATTTCCCTGAAGCTTAAAAAATGCTGAGCGTGTTCTTCCCTTTCGATTTTCTAACTGCAGGTCTTTGCACATTTTATTAAAATATTTGACTTTGTCTTCTCGAGCTGACCTCTGAAATTTTTGTTAAGTTTTCATACCTCCACATTTCTCTCATTTGCTTTGACATCTCTATGCTGGAGAGCAAGTTTCAGAGTCTCTTCTGATATCCATTTTGGTCTTTTCCTTTTTGCTTATCTTCTTAATGACCTTTTGCTTTCTTCCTGTGTGATGTTCTTGAGGTCGTCCCACAACTCTCTGGCCTTTGGTTTTTAGTGTCTAATGCATCCAATCTGTTCTTCACAGAAACCCTGTATAGGGTCATTATGAGTCGGAATCGACCCGATGACATTTGACTGACACAGGGCTTCAGAAAGGAGAGGAGATGCACAGAAGTACTCAGTCTGCCAAATTGAACTGGAATCACAATCAGAAAAAATGCCATCTTGCCACTATGGGAAGCGCTGGATTTTGTGGGGCTTCTATGAATCACAATTTCTTTTGCATCGTCTGTCAGGATTTTCCTGTATCGCTGAATCCACAATGACACTGATTCTAAAACCACTTTGTTTTCACTTTTGACATTAAGAAAAGTTTTTATCAACAGGAGCACTTATTAATATCACATTGATTAAGGGTAGGGCTGTCCATCTGTCAAAAGTGAAATTGATAGAAGTTGTGAGATCGATAACATTTACAACGACAGAAGAAGAAGAACCCCGCGTCTCACGGGGTTTAGCTCCTTGGTTTGGAAACTTAGGGTCATCGTCTGTGAGTGCAAGCAGCCATCTAAGGCCCAACAGTTGGTCTCTCTGTACTCACTGGAGCAATCGAGGAAGGAGAGTCAGGAGGATGTGGAGTGGGGGGCTAACTGACTCCATGGGACCGGAAGAACTGGATGTTTGATCAAAGATTCCATAGAAGAATGCTGATCAAGGGGGAAAATGAGAAGTGATTTTTCGATTTTCATAGACTCTACAATTTCTGTATGAAATCTTGAAACTATTGCCCTGAGATCATCTTTCAATCGGAAACCAAAACTATCCCTTGAAGGTATCCTAAAACCAAAACCATGTTTCCCTTGAGCATCATGCCTTTTTATGGGATCAAATTGACATTGGGGATGGTGGTTGTGGTTGTATGCCAGCGAATCAGTTCTGCCTCATCTTTCTCCCTCGGTGCTGCCGGTAGATTTTAACTGCAGACCTTGCAATTAGCAGCCCAGTGTGTAACCAACCCCCTGCACCACCAGAGCCCCTTAAATTGACCATGGCACCTTGTCGATCAGAACCTTCCGGAATGTAATCCATGGCTGTGGATGGCACACAGAGAAACTGGTAAATTGGTGTCTGCTTCGTTGTGTCTTGATTCTCTGGGTAGTACAAATGAGTAATGTTTTTTCTTTTTTATTTAAAAAAAAAGAAAACACCACTGGATGCCATATTTACGAAATACCTGTTGGTTTTCCAAAGCTTGGTAGATCTTAGCAGCTGAGGAACCAACTAGGAGCCTTTCTTTCCGATTTCATACCTTGCTGTGCTGTTTTGACTTGACAGGCTGTGTCACCCCAGCTGACTGCTGTGACCGAAGACATGTATACTAATGGCTCTGCTGCCCCGGGGAGTCCTGCCAAGGGGCAAGAGATGGGCAAAGTACGACTCATCCAGTTTGAGAAGGTCACAGAGGAACCCATGGTAAGCCGTTGTTGTACTCTCCCCTACTGCTTTCTCTGATCCCGTGAGTCACCGGGCCCCAAGAGGAGACGAGGGCTGCTCATGAAGCTAGGCAAGCAGTCGAGGCTTTCTGTCTTTTGTGACATCAGGCTTCATGCCCATCCTCGGTGAGGGCTATGCCGGTGTAGATGGACCATACTTGCCCTGAAAGTACTTTCCAAGATAATTGCAGAAAGAGCTGAAAAGAAAGCTTGCTGTATGTACCATTGCCTTTATTGCAGGGCATCACCTTGAAGCTGAATGAAAACCAGTCTTGCACAGTGGCCAGAATTCTTTATGGAGGCCTGATTCATAGACAAGGTACTGGATGCTGAGACTTAACTGTTTATTCCCTGGTCAGTGTGGAAGGAGTCCTGGTGGTACCGTGGTGAAAGCGCTGGGCTGGGCACCAGTCAGTCTGCAGGAGAAAGAAAGATTTTCATCTTGGAAACCCTAACTCTGTCCTCAAGAGTCATTATGAATCCGGACATTACTTGATGGCAGCAGATTTGGGCTGTAGTGATGTGGGGCCCTCCAATAAGAGCCAAGGGGCAGCAGCTGGGGCCCTCTGACTTCAGCATCAGCCCCACACTTCTTCCTCCGAGGTGGAGGTCAGACAGACTTCTACCCTCCAACTCTCTCTACCTATTCTGATACGAAGTCCGCTTCCTGGCAGCACTCACAGTCCGGGAACGTAGCAGGCAAGTTAGTCAACACAGACTCTTCTCTCTCCGGTCCTTAGCCACAAGACCCCTTGGCTCTGCCTTGTTAATGAGAGCTCTTTTAGCTCTACTGAAAAATGCCTGAAAGTCACTCCATTCAGCCAGTAAGCCTCAGCCTGAAGGTGCCAGCTCTAGCTCCCTTCGTAAATGCCCAGTAGACATGCCACTCCATAAGCAAGCCTCCTACTGCCCCGAGGCACTCAGCTTGCTCAGTCCCTGGCCTCAGAAGTCCCTGCTGGGTCTCATGTTCTGGTGTCACAGTTCTGTGACCCCCTGCGCAAGGGTCGGGTCTCAGGGTCCAAATGACAGGCTCCGTTCCGGGCTCTTTTTTCTTAAACCTCACACTGCAGTTTTATAGACCCAGCCTGGGTGCCATGTGCCTTGCTCACATCCCCTTGTGGCAGTGTTGGTGGTTTAAATCCACCAGGCACTCCTTAGAAACCCTACAGGGTCGCTGTGTATCCTTCGGTGGGAGTTATAAAAGGTAATGAATGGCTCAAGGGCCACATCAAGTAATGCACCGCACCGCAGCTTCCTTGTTATGTGCTTCACTCAAATTCAGCTGCTAAGTGCTTCCAACAGGTACCTTCTGAGTGAAGTAGCTGGTGCTATTTCTACTGAGTTTCCCAGTCGGTTCCACTCAGTGTATTAGGCTTTGAGTCGTTAGCAGTGAAGAAAGCAGACCATCTCTGCCTTCCTGAAGTAAACAGTTTACTGGAGGAGGCAGGCATTAAGCCAATAATCACATAGAATTACTGTATTTCCTTAATATGATCTTACCCTCAATTTTCAGGGGCATCATTCAGTAAAATCTAGTTGGGTGTCCTTGTGTTGGCACTATAGGATAAGCACTGGATGGCTAACCGGTGGTTCAAATCCCCTAGCTGCTCCTCGGAAACATTCTACAGAGAGTTACATGAGTCGAAGCCGATTTGACAGCCTTTAACAACAACAGCATTTGGGGGGTTGGTGAGAGAACAAACTAATAAGTGAAAATAAAACATTTTTTTGGAATTGACACTAGCCTCATATTTGTACCTTGTTCTGAGCCCAGCCTTGGAATTCTCCTAGCATTGTGGTCACGGTGACTCATAAAAAGGAAAGTTTGCCTTTCATTGGTAATCACTCTTCACATGGAATCTTAGCGTTTGATTACCTTTACCATTTGGTAGCGTTTTAGGGGGTGTTAACCACATGGCAAAGACACCTTGAATTTACTGGCGAATGATAAATACTGAGATCTTTACTTGGCTTGGATATGTGCAGGCATGTCTGTGTCTCCTAGAATCTGCAGCCACTTATCTCCAGGAGACTTTGGGAGAAGGTGCTTGCTTACTGTCTGTTGCTGGAGTGGTGAAGGAACCAAAAGGACATTCTCAGGGCATACTGGCAGCTCTTGTTTGAACTGTTATGTTGTTGTGGATTGATTGTCCATTTCACGACAGGTTCACTTCACGTGGGCGATGAGATCCTAGAAATCAATGGTACAAATGTGACCAACCACTCAGTTGATCAGCTCCAGAAGGCGATGGTAGGTATTTTCTATGTTGGCTGGAGATCTGGTCAGTCTATGTGAAGTATTGTTCCACGTGGGTATTAATGTACCTTGTTTTTCTGTCAAAGTCTTTGTATGTTATTTAGAGGACTAATCTTGGTTCTGTGACCGAAATGACAGTTCTCTTCTTTCATTTAGTAAACTTTGAAAACTGGCTTCAAAAACCAAGAGTATCAATGTGGTATAATGGAAAGAATTTTGGACAGGGTAGTGCGGGAAGCAGCTCTGAATCCCAGCCCGAATGAGTTTGAGCAGGACAATGAACTTGTCACCTGTAATCTTATTGCCCTTTAGAGTCGCTTGTTAGTTGCCAAGTGCCTACTGTGTGCTGGGCATTGTGTTTGGTGCTTGTAGCCTTTCAGTTTCTTCTGTGACTCCTGGGGTTATTTAGGGTTATTTAGAATGGTGTAATTTAATTCTAAATATGTTTGTATTTTCCAGAATACCCTTGTGGTTTTAAATTCTCATTTAGTTTCATTGTGGTCAGATGATATACTTTGTATGATTTGAAGCCTTGAAATATGTTGAGACTTAGCATGTGGTCTACCTTTGAAAATGTTCCATGTGCTCTGATAAAAGAATGTGTACTTTGTACTATTGTTAGGTGGAATGTTCTATAAATACCAATTAGGTTAAAAATGACTTGATAATGTTGTACACAAGGGAAATTAGAAAATCTCTTGAACTAAATGAAAAGGAAAACACGGCTTATCAGACTTTGGGGAATGCCAGTAAAGCAGTGCCGAAGGGAAATCTATAGTACTTGGGTAGAAAAGAAGATTTACAATCAATGGGCTTAATTTTCTACTTTAAGAAACTAGAAAAACAGCAAACTAAATCGAGAGAAGTAGAAGGATGAGCTAAACAGTCAGAAGTAGGGTAGGTAGGACCCTGGCAAGCGAACGTGGGAAGAGGACTTTGAAAAGGTAACTCTGAAGTGGGCTACTTGTAGCATGATATATAATTTATATATAAGGGACTTCAAAAAGTCCGTTTAAAAAATGGAATTAAAAGAATGGATTTTTTTTCATTACAATGAAACAAGATGTGATTTGTTGAGTGCAAAACTGATTTTCTACCATGCAGGCTATCACTCAAATCACAATAAAAGCTCTAAAAAGAAAAACCATAATGGATTTCCCCCCAAAATGTTGGCAGTCCCCTCAGATATGTCTGCAGAATTTTTCTTTACATATAAACTATTTGGAGGGAACCAAGTAATTACTTTAAACTGGTAAACAAGGAGACAGAATGAAGCGTTTATCCTGCCTCTTCTATGTGAACTGGCCCATCAGATAACCAGATCGTTAATTAAGGGACTGTTTCTTTGTACAAGTATCACAACTAATAAATGAAGACGAGATGGTAGAATTAGCACATTGCCATTTTGCAAGTCCTGGTGTGGTGGTATGGGATAAGGCACTGGACCACAAGGTCAGTGTTTCAAACTCACTAGTGGCTCCTTGGAAACCCTATAGAGGGTTGCAGTGAGTCGAAACCGACTCAGTGGCACTTTGCAACAACAACAACAACAACAACGACACCATGGAATCCTGGTGCTGTAGGAGTGGTAACCGCAAGGTCAGTGGTTCAAAGGCATCAGAGACTTCTCGGGACTCCTCTACAGGGTCGCTATGAGTCAGAACCGACGACTGGCCAGTGCCACCATGAGTTGGAATAGACTCAGTGTTATAGAGTAACGGATATGGTCCAAAAGAAAGACATCTATATGCACTGTACACGGAGAAGCCAAAAAAGATGGCTGCAAAATCGTAGAACGCTTTAGTAGACGAAGTTCTCCCAATGCAAAGCTATTGCTTCTTTACGGCATCCTCCATCCAGGCAGTTCCCTCTGCTTCTGAAGGCGGTGCTGTCATTCCTGTAACCCCTCCCCAAAGACTTGGGCAGTTTGGCATCCCTGAGGGTAAGGGTGGGGAACCTTGATTCTGCCAAGGGCCATTTGGATAGTTCTCACACCATTCGCAGGTCATACAAAATGATCAAGTTATACATTGTATAGGTATTTGGTCAAACATTTATTAACTCACCCCTAATGTGATGGCTTGCTATGGTTTGGAACCAACTCGATGGCACTTAACAACAACAACCACAAAATATGATGGCTGGAACTGCAGTTGCCTTGGCAGGGCCAGACCAAATGATTTCTCGGGCCTTATATGGCCTGTAAGGAGCTCTGGTCGCATAGTGGTTACAATTCGGGCTGCTAACCTCAAAGTCGGCAGTTCAAAACTATCAGTGGTTCCGTGGAAGAAAGACGGGGTGTTCTGCTCCGGTAAAGATTTGCAGCCTCGGAAACCCTGTGCAGGGTCACTATGAGTCGGAACCGACTCCACGGCACTTAACAACAACAACACTATATGGCCTGTGGGCCGGACGTTCCCCACCCCTGCTCTTTGTTGTTGTTGTTGTTGTTAAGTGCCTTCGAGTCGGTTCCGACCCATAGCGACCCTGTACAGGGTTTCCGAGGGTGTAAATCCTTACGGGAGTAGAGAGCCTCATCTTTCTCCCGCGGAGCAGCTGGTAGTTTCGAACTGCTGACCTTATGGTTCGCAGCCCGATTCGTAACCACTACGCTACACAAATTATGTTTCTTTTAATGTTCTTTTAAGTTTGGGGACCATAAGGAAGTCTTGGGGCAAGATCTTTGGGAACAGAAAGACGTCTTGGGGCTGTAGGGTGGATGGGATACAGTTTCCCTCAAAGAATGAGCGGGTGCGTTGTGACAAAACAATTCCTCAGCACAGCTTTCTTGGTCTTTGTGAGTTTTTTGAAAACTTCTTCATGATGAGCCGCCATGGCCATCCTTCGCCCTTTGAGTCAGTTGCCATAATTGTCTGAGCTGGCCTCTCTGCCTGGCAGATCCCCTCAGAAACTACTGTTTGGATTGGGCATTTTGTTTTGAAGGCACCCTAAAGAGACTAAGACAGGTGTGTTACTGAGAGAACCTGTCTGCAGCCAGGTGAAACATGTCAGACAAACCTGTTGAAACACGTTGTCTTTGGAATAAACTCGTGGATGCATGAACTGCAGCCCTAGTACTCATACTTTTTGACTTATGCTCATATATGTACATTGTGATATTATCATTTTCCTAACAATTCTAATATTCCTAACAATTTTGTTTCTTTTTCTAAATAGAAAGAAACCAAAGGAACTATCAAATTAAAAGTGATTTCCAACCAGCAAAATCGGCTTCCTGCGTTACAGGTAGGTGGCACCGTTGTTTCGCTTGTGGCTTCATGGCAGTTGGCTAGGGGTCCAGTGTTACACTGTGGTTCTTTGAGATTTGATTGAAAGAGATGTGTCTAGTTTAAAGTTCTAAATATCTCACAGTGAAAGAACTAACTGCACCAGTATGTAGCTGCTTGGCTCAGGGGCCTATTATACCTTGCATGGTGTGCAGCAGTACCAAGCAAACATCCGATGTGAGAAAGTGGGACAAGGTTTATAGCAGTGATTTTTGGCTTCCACATTTTTTTGATTGTGTGTGCCCTCTAGACAGATCCTGAATAGAAACAGATAACAAAAGATCCAGCTCATTCTACTTTCCTTGAGGCAGAAGGCAATGCAGACAGTAGAGAATTGGCTAGGTTAGGGTACGAACATAGTGCTAGCCTCGCGCAGTCAACGTGAAGAATAAAAGAAATGAAGGCATCATTCACAGATGCAAAACACAAACGGTTGTGAACATTTCGAACAGTCTTACCGGTCATCGGAGAAATGAAAAGGAAAATAGGTGTGAGATATCAGTTTTCACCAAACAGTGATTAAATCATCATGCCACAAGAAAGGAAAGAGAGAGACTTAAACACTCATTGAAAATTCATTTAGGATCTACCTGAGCCAATGAGTCTTTCAGGAGAAAAGGGCAGAGTTTGGTCCACAGACAGCTCATTCTCTGGTGGAGGAGAGATTTGCATGCCCTCCGAAATGGACCAAACAGAACCTTGGCAAATCAATATGGAAGGAGAAAAGAGCTGTTTTAAAAAATTGATCTGAAGTTTCAATTACAGGTTACTTATAGGGTACTGGTTTTTTCATTGAAGTTTTTGTGTGTGTGAGCATATATGCAACAGCCGGTTCAGCTTACACAACTCTGACTAAACAATTAAAGTTGAGTAAGCGTTCTTCTGTTCAATGGGTACCAAGACTGCTGCACCAAGCTCAGCTCAAGAGCAGAGCTTTCAAAAGAAACTTAAAAGCAAGTGGGATCCAGGTCCAGAAGCACTGCTAGGAGTTGTATAAGCTGATCCAGTTGAAAGGGCTGTGGTGTCGGCTTCTGTTATTAATCATTGGTCCTCTTCAATTAGGCTTCATCTTCAGCATCATGTCATCCTTTCTTCTAAAGGGTTTTCCATTTATAGACTGCTGATTTCTTTGGGACATTGTTCCTGTACAATTTGCCACGGTGTCAGTGATGTCATCATTCTCCGCCCCCCGCGACTTTAGCAGAATGCATCCAGCTCTGACAAAGGCTCTTTTCAAACTGATGTCTTATCTTCCTTAGTGCCTTAAGTTCGAGCCTGTTCAGACACGTTAGAACAAGCTCATTTGAGTTTATTGGGTGCAAAAAATCGATATCCGCAATAGACATTTTGCATAAGCTTTTTGAAGACCCCTCGTATTGTTTCACTGGACTATTTGCCCCCACATTGAGTGTTTCATTCTGTTGTGCATAGGGTCGCTATGAGTCGGTACCGAGTACCGACTCAATGGCACCTGACAACAACAGCAATTGAATTGTGCGCGTTTCCCTCTAAGCACTGCCTGAAGCATCCCGAATTGCTTTCTAGCTGAATTGCATTGTTGTTAGAAAACTGTCTGAGTTTTCTAACATTTTCTTGGGTTTTGCTTTATGGTCATATTTGGTGTGCCCTGCAGGGGTTCTGGATTTAGTCATTAGATTTTTCATTATGTTGTTCTTGTCTATATCCTTGGAAGGTTTTATTTTGTTTATGGTAAGTAAGGTCATGGACATATGGCGGTATGGGACAATGCAGTGCACTGCAAGGTCAGTTTGAACTGCCAGGTCACCAGTCACTCCTCAGAAGCCCTATACAGGGTCACTATGAGTTGGAACTGACTCAAAGATATCATTTAAAGTTTTACTTTCGCCATCACAGATGGTGTTTTCTTCTGGACTGCCAGGTGGTTCCAAGTAAGACAAGTCTCGGAAAGCCAGTTGTTAGTGTGGCACTTGTGAAGCATTGGTTCTCATTATGAAGACTGTGTGTTAATGTCAGAGAATGTGACAAAGACAGGGGAGGGTAAAGCACAGCCAGAACCCTCACTTCCAGAAGTAACCACGATGACATTTTGATAGTGTTTTCTTCCAGTCCTTTCCCTCCTCAGCATAAATTGTTGTTAAGTGCTGTCAAGTCATTCGGACTCACAGTGACCCTATACAGGGTTTCCAAGGAGCTGCTGGTAGGTTTGAACCACCAACCTTTTGGCTACCAGTCTAGTGCTTCCCATTACAATATTTCATCTTTAAAATAAAACATACTTATTATACATCTTTCCTGACATCGCCTTTATTTCTGTCCGAAGTAGATTATTGTGTCTTGAAGTCAAATTTGGGTACTACCCAGTGGCCCTCTAGGAAAGGTCTCCCAGGGTTCACTGACTTGCGATGGGGCCTGATATGGTCAGCAATGCCCCACAGTTTGGAGGCCTTCTCCCTCCCTTCTCCCTCCCCCAGCCTTCATTTGAGGCTTGTTGAGCACGAAGCAGCAGTTTAGGCCACGATCCATCACCGCTTTTTTTTTTTTGGTTGCACTCAGGAGACGTCCCTGACTGATGGTGAGGGAGGCCCCAATCCTTTTGAGCTCTTTGTTGCTAAGAATGTTTCAAGTTGGGAAGTCGTTTGGGATTATGGGACTCTGAGAAAATGGAAAGGAATGATTTGTTTGGTAGTTTTGACTCAACTCATTTGCAGCAGGACCGTCTGCAGTTCACCTTTGCCTTCTTTTTCAGATGTTTATGAGAGCGCAGTTCGACTATGATCCCAAAAAGGACAATCTGATCCCTTGCAAGGAGGCAGGGCTGAAGTTTGTAACTGGGGACATCATCCAGATCATCAACAAGGATGACACCAACTGGTGGCAAGGGCGGGTCGAAGGCTCCTCCAAGGAGTCAGCAGGACTGATCCCTTCCCCTGAGCTGCAGGAGTGGTGAGCTGCCTACATGTGGAAGGGCCTCACTTCCAAGTTCTGGTGGCTTCCGTGTGCCTTCTGTTTCTCCCCGCAGCCTCTCTGGCATATGGGCATATGTGAGTCAGTGAAGAGTTCTAAGTATGGAGCCTAGAGCGCGCTTCCCTGGCATCTGCTCCGTGGTCTGCTGAGATGAGAGAGGAGGGGCTGAGAGAAAGAAGGGAGTGGGAAGGACCTGAGCTGTTGAAGCTGCTAGCACCAGGCTGGGTGGAGGGCACTGAGCAAGAGCTAGTGGACTTTTCAACGTGAAGAGCCCAGGGACCTAGAACATTTAGTCAGGGTGGGCTGATGCCACATTGTGGCAGGTTCAAGTAATAGTGAATACAGACAGCCCTTTTTAGGAGAAAGTAGGTGTTAGTCACAGGGCAAAGTGGGGTCAAGAAGCAGTGTTTGGGTTTTGATCTGTTTTTTAAATGGGAGAGATTTGTATGTTTGTGTGCTAATAGGTTGATTCAGTAGGGAAGGAAAAAACTCTTCCTACACACAGACTAAAATTAGCAGAGGGCAAAGGCAGATTGTCGGATTCGCAAGGACCAATGGCAGTCCATTTCAGCTCACTAATGCTGCTTATGTGTTCCATTTCATTTTTGACAACTTCCAATTTTCCTAGAGTCACGCTTCACACATTCCATGTTCCAATTATTAATGGATATTTACAGCGGTTTCTCCTTGTTTTGAGTTTTGCCCCTTCAGCAAATGAAGGTCCTGAGAGCTTTACTCCATTCGCGTCATCACTGGCAACTGTATCTTGAGGAGGTGGCTCTTCCCCTGTGGCATTTTGACGTTATGTTTGCTTTTGAGACGTGAAGGTGGAGTCCCTGTGGGATGCTGAACTTGGTTTCACCCGTGTCACGAGGAGAAGGGAAGGCCATCAGTGCTAGACATTTAGTGTACGAAGGAAAGGGGGTCCCAGAGCTGCAGAGCCTCTAATCACTGTCGTCATTTTCCTGCTAGGCGAGTGGCGAGTGTGGCTCAGTCTGCTCCAAGTGAGGCCCCGAGCTGCAGTCCCTTTGGGAAGAAGAAGAAGTACAAAGACAAGTATCTGGCCAAACACAGCTCAAGTAAGCTTTCTGAGGGGCTTTCTCTCTGAGCTCCTGGCACTGAGGGATTCAGTGTATCTTCCGATCTCTTCAGCCTGCAGAAAAGGAAGACTCCCTTGGGTACAGTGTTGAGTGGGAAATAGAACTGACTTTATATGATTTTCAGGAGCCAGCGTGGCACACTGGTTCAAGTGTGAAACCACCAGCCACTCTATAGGAGAAGGACGGGGTGGCCATTGGTTTCCAGCCAGATGACAGCCTAGGCAACCCTGTTGGGCAAGTTTGCCACCATACAGGGTCCCTCTGAGTCTGACTCAGCTCAGTAGCAATGGCTTTGCTTGGGTTTGTGTGATTTTAGAGGAAAATCTAGATGTTACATTTGTTCCCTTGTGACTGGAGCAGACAGTCTCAGCGTTCTCCTGTGGAGCGACCTTGTGGTTCACAGCCTTTGTACTGCCTCTATGTTATAGTTGATGTTGTTAAGTACCGCTGACTCGGTTTCAACTGCTAGCCACCCTGCATAGGGTTTCAAAGGAGTGGCTGCTGAGTTTGAAGTGGCAGCCCTGCGGTTTGCTTTCCAGGACTCCAGATGTTGAGACTTGGGGAGCTTGCAGAGGTCGCAGAAAGCAGTGTTCGTGAATGGCCTCCGTGTCACATTGGCTGTGAATCTGCTTCCGACTTTAACGAATGCTTTTGGGGCTTTCTGTCAGGGGGATTCTGCGCTGGATCCTTTGGAACTACTGGCACTGCGTTTAGTCAGGTTCTCTTTTTTTGCAGGTTGTCTGTTTTCATAATGGCTTTTTTCTCTTTAAGTAAATTGGTCTTTAAGAAAAGCCAGCGATCTCCACCTATCTGCTCATCCCTTCACTGCTCAGATAGCCAACCAGATGGCTTTCCAGTGAGTCCTTCTCCGGGCTCAGGCCTTGTCTGTTTGTCACTCAGCTGCAAGGTTTGAGCAGCGCCCGAGAATAGCGTTTGTTCCTGAGACCTAATTCTGAATGTATTGCTCTTTACCTGCCATGGTTGGAAACAGTGAGTAAGAACCTGGCATTCGGCTTCCGCTGATTCAAGGGCTGGAATGTCAGTGCACGATCACAGCTTCACGTGGGATCACTTTGCTCAGGTGTCATTTGCATCACTCCAGTTGTTGTTGTTAAGTGCCATCGAGTCGGTTCCGACCCATAGCGACCCTGCACAGGGTTTCCGAGGCTGTAAATCTTTACGGGAGCAGAACGCCTCCTCTTTCTCCCGCGGAGCAGCTGGTAGTTTCAAACTGCTGACCTTGCGATTCGCAACCACTACGCTACCAGAGCTCTAGTAGCAGGGGGGTTACATAACAAGGCTTAGGATCATTTCAATATTTTTGTGTTAGCTTCTTGTTCCTCTCCCCTACCAAACTGGGAGCTGCCTGAAGGCAGACTTTTTTTTTGAATGTTTTATTGTGAATTATGTGATCGTTTACATGGGAGAACATTAACTTTACATTCATCCTATCGTATATCATTTCATTGCCATGGTTACAGTCCCCTCCATGCATCATCAACCAACCAACCCGCAAACCTGTCCCTTGGTCATCGGTACACAGCCCCTCTCCCTCTCTGTGTCTAAAGTCCCCAGTCGCTCCATCTCTCCACATCATCGTCTGTGCCTCTATCTCAGGCTTCGCTGCTTCACTGAGTAGGGTTCCGCTCTCCGCTTTTCTCCCTTGATGGTTCCAGAGACCTACACTCCTGGACTGCAAAGTCAACCACACCCCTCCTTTTGCTACAAAATGTCTACCTTTACATTTCCAACCCTCACAGTCAGTCCTGAGAGCAATTCTTCACCATTGTACCACAAGAGCCCTATCCGCATCTCATTTCATCAGTAGAGATCTACCTTCCTCTAGGTTCCCTCTTGAAAGCTTGTAAGCCAGTCACTTATTGCCTTTGTAGCCCCCCATTGGGGTAGTCAAAGTCCAAGTTGCCCACCCCTGTCTACCGTGCGTATCGAGGGGGTGGGAATGATCCTCTTTGTAAAGATTTGTTCCGTCTTTTGAGCTACTGCATCCATACATAGGTGTAGGTCAAGTTCATCAAATTGTATCAGATTACTCTTTTTTTTCCCTCTTCTTTGTTCTTCTAGTGGAGCTCTGGTCATCCAGCCATTGAAGCCAGGTCAAATGGGTATTATCTGCACGTATGGGTGTACTTATGCATGTGGCCTCTCTTCTTATCAGCTGGACACTGCACTCTCCACTCTAGTCCTCTGTGGCTATGTCACTGACTCTGGGCCCAGGAGTCCCCAGGTCTTGCCACACTGCTGGCCAACTAGGTCTCCACCGTGTTCACGGGAGTCAATTGAATGTTGTAGGGCTTAGCTTGCAGTGTCATTGCTGTTTTACCCTCACTTCCCCTTATCGGTGACGAACGTGGTCACCAGTCAGAGCGCATGCCTGCTCATGTATTCCCATTGAGTTTTAGTCTTAGAAGGGGGTTTGCCCTGAGGGGACTCGACCACTTCCCTTGATGTCTCCTGAGCGAGCAACTTGTTCGTTCTTGTAGTAATCAGTTTGACTGCGGTTATTGATTTGTTTTTCTCCTGTAGGTCTTTCTTTCTAGAAGTAAGTTCTGTTCTTCTAGCCATGTCAGGCTGGTCTGCTTGTCTTTTCCAGTGGAAATTTCTCACCACAGAAGATTCTGGATGCTGTTCAGGATTCCACCCATGATCTTATGTAATGCAGAGGCTCCACAGGAAGCCTCCTTCACTGGGCACATTGTTGCTCCATTTTAGGTATTCCAATCAGTTATAGGCAAAAGATGGACTTACAAGCTTTCTATGGTGATATTTTTGGCTATTCTTCTCTTTCCCCCTCAAGTGTCTATTTTATAATGGTATGCCAAGGAAACCAAGATTCAAAAGACAGCCAAGCAT